AAAAATTATTGCAAAAATATAAAATTCACAAAAAATATTGATACCGTTCAAATTTAAAATTTTATAATCAGAGATCTATAAATATTCTTAAATATATTATATCTTTATTTAAAAGATATAATATATCTAATAAATATAAAAAAAATTTCTAAAATAAGTTTCCAATCCTCCATTAAATATAATAGGATACAAAACCTCGAGTTCAAACTAAGTTATGGAGAAACACTAATATCTGAAATATTTAACTAAAATTTTGACCAAATCTTGGTGGATTAATAAAGTATTGACCTTTTTATCTTTACTCTTACCCTTAGTATTCTCAATTAAATTAATCCATTAAAAACAATATAAAAATAATATATAAAATTCGCAGAAAATAAAATCTATTAAGTAATGAAAATCTTTACAAAACCTCAATTTATAATCACACATTAATTTATTCAATAATAAGATTACTTTTTATCTCTTAGATGTTGTATCAATAGGAATTTTTCACGTATCTCTATGAGAAAATTTTGAAGATGTAACTATTTATTTTTTTAACTATTTATTTTTTTAACTATTTATTTTTTTAACCAATCAAATTGCTATAATAAGACATTTTATCATTGTTAAATATAAAAATTTTAATCATTATCAGTGAGAAAATCTATACATAACAAACAAAAAAATAAAATGTTGATAAACTTTTAAAACAAATCAGAGATATTATACCGGATGATAAATTTTTTTATTAATGACCATACATTTTAATATTACAAATTACTTTTTTCCTGAAAAATACAATTTTTTTTATATTTCATGGTAATTATATATGTGATTAGCAATGATAATGAGTCAGGATAATGTCTATATATTATCTAATTTTTTTAAATCGTTTGTCTTAAGACTTAAGATGCACATTTTGGGCTCAAGATATAAAAGTTACATTCTCGATCTTTCAAAAGATAGGTGTTTGAGATTTTCTCTAGGAGGGTTTGCACTTGTGGCCTAAACCTCATGCTTTAGTATTCCAATCCTTAAGATAACTTCTTTGAGAAAGGATCTTCATGGCTTAACATCAGGTTTAGTGTTTGAGGTTTCCCTTTGCAATGGGTTTGTTTATGTGGCTCAAGCCCCAATTCATATAATTTATTGATAGTCAACTTATCATCTTAGATTACGAGTGCAAATTACGAGTGCAATGCACTGACCTGATCATCTGCAAGAATTCCTCCAGAACAGTACAAACTTGAAGTTTCTTTCTGAACCATCCATGATAAAGCAATTCTCTGGAAAAAAAAACAACCATTTTAGTTGGGTGACTCAAACAGACAGAGTAAGAAATTCATTGTTATCCAACAAGCTACAATTAGAAGAAATTCATTGCAGAAGATTGCAACTTCCGGCTCCACACTTGCCTCCCTCATCCAACGCTTCTCCACTTCCCCCTCCGCCATCCACAACCTCCTCTTCGGCCCGTCACCCACCTTCCCACCACACCCTCCGACGACTCTTCCTCCGTCGTCCCCACCCTCCTCGCCATCGTCACTAACTTCCTCTGCTCCCCCTCCTTCCATGAATCCTCCGTCCTCGGGTGGTTATCCGCTAGTCACAGATCTGCCCTCCGCCCCTCCATGCGCGCAGATCTGCCCTCCGCCCCTCCATGCGCGAATATCTGCCTTCTGCCACCTCCCTTCGTTGCCTCCTTCTAGCTTCCCCTCCCTTCTCGCATGCGCACACGCACAAGTACCGCGCCTTCGAGTTCCACACCGAGGTACAGTGGTTCGAGCCTCGTTCCCTCAATGTCGTCAACATTGACCCTACCTTTCGCGACCACTACAGTGCTTTTAGCTCGACCTCCGGCCTCCCCGCACTCGACTGCAGGCTTCGTGGGTCCTCGATGGATGAAGTTGGCGACGAGAGGCTCACTCGAATGTTTCAGGCCGCCAATGACCAAAGGGAGCTCAACGGGTGCGTTGAAGGGTTTGAGGTTCGACAGTTGAGCAGAATGGTTGGGTCTGATGTTAGGAGCACCAAGGGTTTCTAGGAGTTGTTTAAGAAAATGTTTGTTAAGATTCAGAATTTTACTAGCTTAATATGCCTCGGTTAGACGGCAAACCGAATCATAAATGCCTAATGACATCGGGTGGATGAAGACCGAAGCAATAGGCTTTAATGGAGAGGGCTTTAATGCTTCGGTTTCGTAAATAACCGAGGTAGTAGAGAGGATAGGCTTTGGTTTTGACTGAACCGAAGCGTATAAGTTTGTCTTAATTACAAAAATACCACCGCATTTTAATATGCTTCGATTTTGTGAAAACCAAGATGTATTAAGCGTGTTAAAAGACTAATTTTTTACTAGTGAAGATCTTGTAGGAAAGGTTCAATGGTCATTCATGTTAAAGACAAAGGTAATCATCTGGTTAATTAAGGTTGAACAAGAGCCAAGAGTTTAAGGCCATAGGTGGTCGTGCAGTTGAGGATGAACAAGAGCCACAAGCTTAGTTGAGGTTGAACAAAGCCAAAATGCTCGGTTGAAGCTTAAAAAGCCAAGAGCTTGAGGCTAGAGGTGGTTGTGTAGCTGTAGCTAAACAAAAGCCATAAGTTTGAGGCCATAAGTTTAGTTCAGTTGAGGCTTGAATAAAGCCATGAGAATGAGGCTAGATATGGTTGTGCTATTGAAGATTGAACAAAGCAAAGAGGTTGAGATCAAAGATGGCCGCATAGTCGAAACTGGTCGAGGCCAGCACGCTAGGGCATAATAAAGCTAAGATGTTAGTGTCGCAGCAAGTTATGTGCTTGAAACTAATCTAGGCTAATAGGTTGGGGTTTAACAAAATTAAAAATTTAGGTCTTAATGAGAGACATTCGCTCATCTGGTTCCTTTTGTCTTAATGAGAGACATTGGCTCGATCCCACGGTAAACGTCAAAATGTTTTGAGGATTCCTTAGAAAAGGCTTGTAGTTGTTCTAGACTGAACGGGTTGTGTTGTAGATTGGACATAATCCAAAATTCGTAATAACCATTGTTAATCTGATCATTATGTGACCGGTCGACCATGTAGTTTAATCTATCCATGTTGTAACCGCTTGATCATGCTATTTAATCGGACTATTTTGTAACCGTTCACCCATATTGTTTGGTCAAGGTGATCGGTCACTCGTCATTACCATTCTTAATGATCATTCTGTAATAGGTGAATCCAAGGTGGACAGTCAAAAAAGTTTTACCTAAAAGTGATTAGTATTAGAAATTAACACAGAGAGTATAATCTTAGAACTCGACCTAAAAATACTCAATATAAAAGAACTTGGCTTAAAGAGTGTGGTCTTGAAGTTCGACATGAAAGAGTAAAGTGTTAAAGCTCGATATGAAAAAACTCAATGTTGAAACTCGACCGAAAAACCTCGGTTTGGAAAACTCGATCCTGAGAAACTCAACTAAATGGGCATACGATAGAGGTTATATTTGTTCCTGATTTTGAATTTCGACTAAGCGGTCATGTGGTACAGGTTGTATTTGTACCCGATTTCGAATTTTGATTGTGTATATGTAATTGTGCATGTTGAGCTCTAAATTGGAGTTGTGTTAACAGTGATAAAACTGAAACATCCATTTTATCCACTATTTGCACTACATCACCTTCATGGCTAAAAAATTGAGAAACCTCTTGCGGGTTGTCCACTTGTTTCCCACTCAAAAGCTCGCGTAATTGATGCATGCTGACACGAGCTACAAACTTTACGCCCACTTCGAATTCTATTTCCCTGGAAAGAGTGATCAAAACACATTATGAAGTTAACATAACATAGTTACTTGAACAATACCACCAGTGTCCTTATCGTCCTCTCTCAATATTGTTGAACCCTTTGGATGCAAAAGGAAGCAAGCCAATAGTGTAGAGATTTGTTCCTCCATCATAAACAGGAAGCCTCATCCCCAGGTCAGTGTTCCTGTGAAGCTGATATATCTATCTAAAAGTGTCAGATAGTGATTAGCTTTGACCAATAAGTAATTTGTTCATCAAGAATCGGACTACGTAATGTAGTGATCATTTATGTTAACCACATTTTAAAATTGTTTTTATTTTTCGAATCTGGACATTGTTAACTGGATTTAATAATGCCTAATTTTGAAATCCAAATTTATATATATATATATATATATATATATATATATATATTTATAATTTTGAAATTTGATAACATTTAACACCATACGATTTTATAATCCAATGAATAATTCATAAATCCAATATATCTATTTCCAACAGATTTGGAAATTCGGTAAATCCGATCCCATCACTTTCACGTCTAACAAATTTCAAAATTTGATAACATTTAACATAAATCAGATTTCAAAATCTGATAAGCAATTCATAAATTTGGTAAGCTTTCATGAATTCAGAGTTTGGTAGGCTTTTGTGGATTCAGAGTTGTACAACAGATTTTAAAATCTGACAACTATACCCTTCAAAAGAAGTAATCAAATTTCTTATTTTAAAATCTGACAACTACCCTGCAATAGATTTTAGTTAGTTTTTCCATATTATGTTATCCAGTTTGTTAGTTTTTCCATTCAATAATAATACTTTGTTATGACTAAGGTAAAATAGGATAAGATAGAAAAAAAGGAAAAGCTTGAAGTGCATAAAGAAAGTCCACCTCATTTTCATTTTTTTGAATACATGCATCCAAGATACTCAAAATCATACTCAGTTCTTGGGCGAAAATTAATCCAACTAGAGTGTAAAGTTTGTGTACTCAGCCTTGTAATGTCCGTTAAACTTAAGGCCTACACTAAATCAGTAAAAGCCCAAAGAAATGGACCACAGACCCGAACATTAGACCCAAAAGTCCATACGAAAGGCAACAATTTGTATTGTAATTCAAAATTAAACAAAGATAATATTTACTAAATAAACAATTAATTACTAATAAAATTTATCCAATAGATTTATCTTTTCCCTACAGACTCAAGAAATGATAATCAACTGCAATTCAATTCACTGACTTTGCTTCAACAACAATCTCATTTCAATTAAAACATAAACTACAACTAAGAACATATCACATGATCAATAATACATCAGAAACCAACAATTTACAGAAATCCTCATTAAAACCCTAATTTGGAAGAAAAAAATTAACCACCAAAACCGTAGAGGGTTCTGCCTTGTCTCTTAAGTGCATAAACAACATCCATGGCAGTAACAGTCTTCCTCCTAGCATGCTCAGTGTAGGTAACAGCATCACGAATGACATTTTCAAGGAAGATCTTAAGCACACCACGGGTTTCCTCGTAGATGAGACCACTGATTCTCTTCACACCACCTCTGCGAGCTAAACGGCGAATAGCAGGTTTGGTAATTCCCTGAATATTATCACGAAGAACTTTCCTGTGCCTCTTGGCTCCTCCCTTTCCCAATCCTTTTCCTCCTTTTCCACGACCAGACATTTTCACACTTCTCTTTTTCCTCTTTGAATAAACTGTTTCGAATTGAAGTGTGCTGCCGCCAGACGAGGCTTATATAGAGCCAGCTTCCCAGGGGTGGGATTTGTGTTTTTCGTCTGGTCGAAGGGAAAATCCACGCTGGCCGTTGATTGTCATCTAATCCACGGTTGGGAACAGCGATCCGTGTCATTGCCATTGGTTCGTCACGAACCGTTTATCGTGTAAGATCGACGGTGGATTCGACCCACTAACTATTTAACTATTAATGACTCGCTCTAGGTTTAAATATGGAGAATGTAAACTCTAGTATATTGTTAAAATTAACATACTATACTAATTTATAACTGGAAACTCACTGAACCACAAATACCTCATCATCCAGTCACGACAAGGTAAGATCACAATTATAAAATTTTTTAAAACAATTATTTTAATATGTAAATTTAATCTCAGATATAAGTTTTATTTTAATATGGTCATTCCAAAAACAATTATACACATTTTTAAAACAATAATCCAGAATAATTTTAAACACTTGAAAAGCTATAAGAGAAAATCTTATTGTATATGTCAACTTCATATACACACTTGTCTAAAAAAATAGTTGTTATTTCGTAGGTAATTCTTCTTGAAGATAATTGTTGCAGCTATAATTAAAAGTAATTTTTACGTTTGATTATCAATAAATCATAGCACAAATTATATGTAAAATAAACGTAAATGAACATTCTTTATACCTCTATAAACTCATCATATGCATGAAAGGTCTTTAGGACATCCATCAATATTAAAAAAAAAATTAAGTTTTTAGTCACTTAATTTTGACATCAAATTAGAATTCATCTTTATTTATAACTTTGATATATTTTGGTTCTCAAATAAATGAATATAGTTTTTGTATTGTATTGGTCAAAGACCCTTCAGTTTTATCAATTACAACCTTAAAATGATTGACTAGGATAAGATAAGATGGACATTGGGTTCATAATCGAGACTCATTCATGTGAGGATCCGTGGTTAGTAAAATAAGTTTATAAATATCATATTAATCGAGTTTTGACTTCATTTTTACATTAATCGTACTTTTGACTAACATCTTTGACTCAAAGCACTGATTTGAGCATCAGAGAATCTTCTACAAGTACACCACCATTTGATAGAGGATAAGGGAGGTTCAGAGGATAAGTATCGGGTAGTAAGAGCTCGTGAAATGGAAGAAGACTCTTTGCAGGGTACCTTTGGCTCTGTAAGTACAATTCTTTAATCCAACTATTCTAAATTTTTTTGTGTCAAATGTGTTTTCAACTAAAGTTAAACAAAAAATGTCAAACGATGTAAATAACTCAAATGCTAGTACGAAACACATTTGACACGTCAAGAAAATTTAAGTAATTGGGTTAAAAGGACAATATTTATTCAATTTTTAAAGTTTATAAACCAAAATATATAAAAATTTCAAACATGCACGAATTCCAATTTCGCGTCAAAGTTGAGATACTAAAATTATATTTAAGCAAATAAAATCTTAAGCTTGATAAGATTTTCTTTTGATAACCATTGATTTGAAATTAATCAAAATATGAAATATAATTATTTTCATTTTTATATTTAGAGAGAGATATTAAGCATTTATTGAGAAAATTCTTATAACTTTGTTAGAGAGATATAAAACAATTATTGTATCATTAGAAACACATAAATTTTGTCTATTATTACTTTGACAAAAGTGATACATGTCATACAAACACAAGAACAACAAAAATTAATGAGAGAATATCATGTAATAGAAGGTATTATACTTCCTACTAGCAAAGGTATTGTTAACAAAAAGAGCAAATAAAATAACACACATGTTTTTTCATATTGTCCTTAAGTTAAGAAAAATAATCATCAATGCAATAAATGTTGGTGGAGGTTGGATGCTAAATATCACAAATATAATGAATTAAAACATGTGAAAAAGATATACAATCCTCAAAAAGATATCAAGACTATAAAAGACAAATTAAAAGAACTATTCCTTTTGCAACATTAACAGCTAACAAATTTACAAAAAATTATCTTATAAATAGTGGTTGTACAAACTATATAACTCATGATCGACAACTTTTCAAAGAGTCTAACAAATTATATATTTTTAAAGTAAAAATTAAGAATATAAAGAATAACTTATTGTGAAAGGTACATAAACCATTATAATTAAAACTCATTGAGGTGTTAAATTATTTTTTATTTCTTATATATTCCTAAAATTACTCAAAATTTGTTAAGTGTTACTCATTAGAAAAATGTTATAAAGTATTAAATTTCATTTGAAAATAAATTTTGTATGATTCAACATAACTTATAAATATTCAAAGCTTATCAGATAAAAAAGAATTGATTTGATGAAAGAAGAATTAGGCACAAGTGAAGAGAATATAAAATAGAAAACACCTATAACATTTCTTATATTTTCAAAACTCCTAAAAATTCCAATAACTCTTAGTCAAACAATATTGAGAGAAAAACAAATTCACTTTGCATGTTATTAAGGTTTTTCAATGATATTAGTTATTATTAATTGTAGTTATAAATAGTCACAAAATGTTTTTATTTCTCAAATTTGAAATAAGTTTGTTTTCGGTCGCTCATAATTAAAATTGAGATTTGTTACTATATGAAAACTTTTGTTTTAGTTGTTTTGATTAAAGGCCTTATTCCAAAATATTATTGTTTATACCTTAAACATGCAGTTAAGCCATTACTTTCTTAATATTGTCTATTTTGATGTGTGAAAACTTCATCATAGCTAATTTTATCTATGAATATGTTAATAAAATAATATCTTTTATAAACATGATTTTAACTCTTACATTATATTAGATTTTTAAGGATATATCATATTTTAGGCATTTTACAATATGATATTTGACTAGTGCATTTTTAGGATTTTTTTTTTATAAAAATATTTTTTTCCATTTTTTTATCTTTTTTTTTCATTTATCTTTTTCATTTATGATTAGTTCAAATGTGATAAAATTATTAGTTATGGACGGTAAAAGAAGCTAAAAAAAAACATTAAGCCTAATCTAAATGAACTATTATTTATTTTATTCTTATTTTATGTTATTATTATAATTTATTTTTGTAGATTTGGAAAATAGTGATGGACAAAATTGTTAATCAACATAAATGTGTTGTTTTGTTTCGGAATAAAGGAATCATAGAGGAGCAGTGCAGCACGATGACAACACTGGTCTGAGGGAAAAGTGACACCAATAATTATTACTGTGTCCAAAGCTAATCTCATTCTTTTGAATTTTGACTCTGCTTACCTTCCCTATTTTCCTTAAGAGATTCATCCCCAATTTCATTTTCCCCCATTAGTTTTAATATCAGTGCTTATAGTTTTTGTTTATACACAAATATGCAATACTTATGTTTTGTAGTCAAGTAACTTTGATTGAAAAACTAATGAAAATAGTAAATTTATTCTAAGATTAGAAGATTTTTGTTGATGATGTGTTAGTAGCTATCATGGCAATATAGCATAGTAGAGTACAACATAGCATATATCTTTTTGCTATCATGCCAATACCTCCTATCATGCTGCTAGATTTTTTGCAACCACTAAGCTTGGTTTTTATGGAAATACTTCATTAAGGTTTGTTTGACATAAGGGATTCTCCCATACAAGTAGCTCTTTTACTTCATTGTGAATCTTCATCGTTTCTCTCATCAAGCTACTAGTACAAAATCCCAAACAACCATAATGAAAAAGCATTTGACCTTTAAGCATCTCCTCATCTGTGTTGGTGCAAGCCTTATTAGCCATCTTTTCTAGATCATGGAGAAAAGAATAAGTAATATGTTTGACCTCTTCATCTCCATTCCATATCCAAAATGCATCTTTCCTGGAGCATTCCTCTATATCAATATCAACAGGAAGATTTATATTCTTTAACTCATTTTCAAGTTCCTTAGAAGACTCTATCCTTGTTATCTTTTCCAGGCACTTCAATATGAGACCTACTTTGTTCTTGACATTTCCCACATTCTCTTTAACTCGATCACTGAGATCCACAAAAAATGTTTCATCTTTCTCCAACATTAGCTTAACTTTTTCCATTGAGTACGCCACAAAAAGTAAGAGATCCACCGTTGTCGACAGTGATTCCAACATGTTTCTGTAGCAACCATTATGAAATGGAATGAACCAAAAATTTGGCTCTAATTCAGCTTCCATCGTGACATCTTCTAATTGATCCACTACAAACTTCAGCTTCAAATGCTCATCTTGTGAGGCTTGAGAGTAAGAAGACGACTTCTCTTTCTCACTAGGAATAATGATAGTTTTGTCAATGCAATGTTGAAGAGATCTCAAGCATTCTGAAAGTTTACCTTTTGCCAGAGTCGAAGCTCTAAAAGGATTGAAAAGTATCTCTACAATAACGAAGCAAATGAGTCCAACTGTGGCCTCAACAATTCTAACAAATGCAAATTTACTTGGTTTTTCATTGTGGTTTATACCAATAACTAATAAAGCCCCTGTAACTGCTGAAATCCCACCAGCTCTACCATACATTCTACTGTACATAAGAAAAGAAGAGAAAAATACCCATGGTAGAAGGGGTAAGAATCTTATACCCATACATTTTTGAAAAACGAAGCAACAAAGGACTCCGTAGATTGATCCCATTGCAGTTCCTTGACCACGTGCATTTGCAAGTGAGAAGGTTGAATGTCGTCCAGTCACGAAGCAGAGAGCAACAGTGAGTCCTGACCAATATCCATTTTCCTTGTTATATGTCAAACCAAGAAACATGGCAAAGCCTAATGAAAGAGAGGCCTTAAGTGGAAAAACCAAATTGGTTTTTGAGGGAAATAAATTCATCACAATCTCTTTAATATAGTTGGTGCTCCAGTGAAAATTACCCTTTTTTGAAGTTTTTATCGGCATGGGATCCATTTTATTTACAATGGATGAGTCCTCTAGGAGTAAATGCATGCAATATAAAAAGAACGAGGTTGGGAGATCTTTATAGGCCATTAACAAATTTTTAGTAAAAATGTCTTTTTTC